AATAAGCACAAAGAGGTGTTCAATCTAGTGTAATCAGGGTCATTTTAGGGACTGAGCCCAAGAAGAGAGAGGAGAACTCCAAGGAGAAATGAAAATTGCTCACACACTTCCTCCCTAATCCCCGCTGAGCCACTGTCCTAGAGAGGGCCAGGAAAGGAAAGTGGACGGGCCTTCTTAGTCAAAAAGGGAGAAAGCCTTAGGCAGGTGAGGAGACTCCATTGTGCGTGAGCAACTTTCATTCCCCCAAAGTTCTTGCCTCCTTCTAAACCTAGACCTAGAGGATGCCCCCGTATCTTGCGATGGCACCACCTTGATCTTTCTGAGGCTCAGTCCCAATTGGTGTAAGTAATAGCTCATCCACTTGTACCCCTCTGCCCCCCCACTCCCAACGATACGAACGCCAGGGGGTACATCCTCATAACTTCCTTTACCACACTCATTAGGATTCGGCGGACGTACAGGCAGACCTACCGACCAACACGTGAATACCAACAAACCGACACTCTAGGATAACAGAGTGGATATAGTGTGAGGCAGCGTTCAGAGCTGGCGATCGTATGCGATTAGGCGATCAGGCTAGTAAATGAGTAGGTTAGTAGGCAATTAGGCGAGTGGACGATAAGGAAGGGATAGGTATCGATTTGTTCGCTTTGTACATCGCCATCGAGCGATCGTCTGATCGATACATATCCTTTGACTTTGACTTCCAGTGATTACCTAGCCGCCTAATCGATCGTCAACATTGAACGCTGCTTGAGTGAGAAGCAGTATGAGATGTAGAAACAACAGCTTCGATCGCCGTGTATGGTCAGATGAAGCCATCTGGCGCGGCGCCCGTAATGCGCAACAACTGTGGTATCCCTGGGTACCCCCCAGGAGGCCCGTCGCGCGGCAAGAAGGCAGAGTCGGCGGACGAGTCGCAGCGCGTGATGTGCGATGTAGGACGTGCAATGGGACATTCTATTTAACTTGACGCGAAATCCTATAGTACGCGCGCGACTCGTCCGCTGACTCGGCCTTCTTGCCGCGCGACGGGCCTCCTGGGGGGTACCGTATCCCTGCCGCCCCGTGCACATTCGTTTTGGCGTAGCTAGGATGAGATATCACGCGCGTATCGTCTCATCCACGTATCGCTTGCTGCAACACTGAACACAGCGCCGTGAAGTCCTTCACTATTGTTCACACACGGTGTTTCTTGGAAATGCTAGCTGCTTACCTTTCCCGGTTGGGGGGTGGGGGATGCCAATACTGGAGATGCAGCCTCGGCGGAAGGTGGACGTCTACTAGAACAGAAAGTATGATAGCTCTTTTGTTCATCATGTCAGGTTCCACCTGAAAAAATAGGAATTTGGAAAGCATATTGGGTGCTCATGTCATTAGGAGGGGGGGGGGGGGAGGGAAGGAGGATTGGTGGGACACTCAAGTGAATGAGCCACTCACAGTACTTTGGACTAACAATAAGCCTTATGGAGTGTTCACAGTTGCCGATCGTACGCGCGATCAGGCGATTAGGCGAGCAGTCGATTAGACGATTAGGGGAGTGGGCGAGTAGGCGATAAGGGAAGGATACACATTGATCCGTTGCTCCCGCCCATGAAGCATAGTTCTGATCGCCTAATCACCTCTATGGGCTTATGGTTAGCGAACTAATCAATACGCATGTGGTCTTCCCCCTAAATAATAACCCACTTGCCTAACTTCGCTTAATCGGCACGTTACAAGCTAATGGAGCGTTCATTAGTATGGCGTCGTGCGTGCGAGTTAGGGGGGCCGGGGATTGGTTTCAAAGGGAAAGTATACAGATCGATTAGGCGATTAGGCGATTAGGCGAGTAGGCGATTAGGTGATATCTGGATTGTATGCAACACTTTGACAAGATCTGCTTTTACCAACTAGTAGTCTAGTGTATGGGTGAGAAGCTAATATGCATGTGCGCCTCAATTTTGACGACTAAGGAGTGCGCCGTGTGCAAATCGCCTAATCGCCTAATCGCCTAATCGCCTAATCGCCTACTCGCCTACTCGCCTACTCGCCTACTCGCCTAATCTATACGTATATTTTTCATTTAGACTAATCGCCTAATCGCCTAATCGCCAACTATGAACACTCCTAACTATGAGCGCCCCATTAGAGAGCGGAAGGGGTTCTGTGGTCGGATGTGGACCATTTGTCCCTAGCTTTTCCAATCACTACTAGGCTTATCCCTGTGATTACTTACAACCCTGTTTTGAACGCCCCCCCCCTCTCTAAGGCCTCCGAGCTCCGTTTATTGAACTGAGTGTGCAACTCACTGTTTTGTCCCCGCTTCCAACTTCGCTGACACGTAAAAGATAATCTCCCTCGTTTTTTAATACAAACAGCAAATCTTCACGTGGTAGATAGCCATGATAGAACTTCAACTCTTTTAAGGTCTGCAATATGTAGTTCAGGTGCTTCGTCCATTCGACGTTGTGAAGAACACCTGCCTCCAACCTTCTCTTCTTCTTTCTCTTCTTCGGCCTTCTTCAACAGTTCCGCATCAACCGGATCATTTGCTGCCATTTGGTGGTTAGTTCCGAATTAAAAAAGTGATCACTCTACGACAAGGCATTTATATACATCAAACATTCATTCATAACAATGATCTTTATCACCGTTATCATGGTTGATCAATTGCCTATTAGTTGTAACTTACAGTCACGAGAAAGAAATATTGCTTAACGCTTCTGTTTTTCAGGTTGACTTCTTTTGGCATAGCTTGGTCAAATTACATGCGATCGAGGTAAATATACTGTTTAAGAGCTGGAAGAGCGCCATCAGTCAAGAAAAAAAGAGCACAAGTCGTCGAAACACTGGAAATACATGTCTACTTGTTTTGCACAATGAAAGAGCCTGTCTAGGATGCCTATGTTTGTACAGTAGCGAGCAAAAATCTATCGACAAGCGCTTTTGTGAGGTTTCTTTCCCGGAAACAGGGTGAATAACAGACGAGGAAATCTCGGACAAGTTGTCGTATTTGCTCTGATGAGAGGTGAGAGGGTTAGCATTCTTCATCGCCGGACATAACTATGCTGATGCCACTCATCCGCTACCATCATTAAAGATCACGATAATTTCTGCATCGGGGAGAGAACCTGCGCCACACGGAGCAATTACTTGGCTGCCAAGGAAGCAATGTGTGGCGCTTCCACGGCGAAAGGTGCTGTGGTTGCTGAGCAGGACCTCCGCAGCACTCCGCCCCCAGCAGCGTTACGCCCACAAGTTTACTTGTTGATTTGGACGAGCTGCGTGACCAGCAGCGGCGCAAATGGAGTATCTCGATTAAAGCGTACTTTGGCATGGTTCCATCAAATTCGTTGCGGTGAACTCGTTCATACGTCCTCTTTCTTAGCTGTTACCTGTTCACGAGTTGAAACCAATGGCCAAAAGAGAGGGTCCCGTTTTGTGTTTTCTTGACGGACTTTTCTTTTTTTTTTCGCTGCTGGGGTACCATTGAACACCACCACGTCACACTAAACCCTTCTTGAATTTATCGTAACCGCTACCTTTAATTCACATGTGATTTTAGTTAGCATGATGCAAATGGCATCTTAAAACTCTAGAATTAAAATTCAAGTGGAAAGTGCTTGTTTATTTGCTCTGCAGTGATGAGTACGGCGACGGCCAAGAAGGACCCCTGAATACCGTTATATTTTTAGGTCTCTTATGGTCAAATGGAGAAAGCGTGAATAATACCATAAAATTCGTCGTGGAGAGCACGATACATGTGTTTGATACGCTTAGATCGTTCCACCTTACACGCATACTCTTAATATAAAGCCGTGTAATATGCGGTAAGCGGCAGACCGCAAACTTAAGCCACAAGTCGGTATTGGGTTCGAGAGCCAATCATTCAAGAAATGAGGAAGATGAACGCCAAGGTAGGACCACGAAACTGCGCGACTCCAAAAGCGCAGAGAAAAGGGTATGTTTGCCTTTGTGTGCTTCCACCTATATCAACGCGCATGGCTCGTTCTCTGCCTCTCGTGCACATTAATGTCTGGTGTTTTCCTGCTCCTCGAAACTGTGTTTCTCCGATACAGGGCGGCAATATAAGGAATTTAGGGTTATTATGATGCTTTTCGCTTTTTCTCCCCACTAACGTTCCACATTGCACTCCTTGCTAATTTTCAAACAAAATAACGTAAAATAATGTGCATAAAAATTTAATTATCAATCGATCTTGACTTTTTAATCTGGTTTTATGTGTACGATATGAGTTGACAAGCACTTCTTACAGGTTTATTTGGTTCCTTTTTCAAACGTTCTATGCGAGGTTTTGACGAAAGGCCTGCCCTGGCATGAAATTTTGGCCCATTTGTATTAGGTTGTCTCATAAACAGTGTCGCTTTTTTTCATCCAAAAAATTTTCATCTAAACCTCCATGCTTTTACATCGTGTTGTGTACCATTCGAAAGAGAATTGTCTGCTCTACAAAATGCTATGTCCCACTTCCACATTTCTTCCAGGGTTTTCAAATTTTGGGCCTGTGAAATGGGAGGTCCGGCCGACAAAAAATGGCCAAACCGACAACTATCTCTAACATTATCTTTCCTTGGGAGAAATCAATCTATGATGTACCTTCTACTTATGCATGACCTCTTCTAATCATTACACTACTAGGTTTTCCTACAAATCGCGTCGTTCAATTTCCAGAGCTGGTTTTTCAACCAGAACTCGACGATCGAGCACCATTACCTGTGATCTAGGTCGAAATTTTTTTATGGCCGAGACGTTGAAGAACTGGTTGAATTTGAAGAACAAGTCATGACTAAGTTAGGAATGTACGACTGGTTGATTTTCTCATTTTCTAAGGGATAATTTTTTTCAAAGAAATGTGGTCACTTTCGCGGTAAAGCACCTTATACCGAAACATCTAAAATTCGAACTAATTCCCAACAAACAGAGAAACAAAACAAATGAGCGAGTAGAGCAGAAGAAGTGCTCGTAAAAGGAACACCACTCGATATGAAACAATGGCGTTTACGAGGAACAATTTTAATTTGAAAATTGCTATGGCTTATCGGTCAGCCAATTCGAAAAGAAACACGGCAAAGCTTTTTCGGCAACCTAAGAGTGGAATGTTTAGAAGAGGTCATGAGTAAGTAGAGGGTACATCATTGATTGATTTCTCCCCAGGGAAAATAAAGTTACAGCCAGTTGTCGGTTTGGTCAATTTTTGCCGGCGAGACCTCCCATTTTGCTGGCCTGAAATTCGAAAACTCTGAAATAGCGGTGGAAGCGGAACACAGCATTTTGTAGAGCAGACAATTCTCTTTCGAATGATATATAAAACGATGTAAAAGTTTCATGATTTAGATGAAAATTTTTTGGTTGAAAAAAAACGACATCACTTATGAGACAACCTAATAGTTATTGTATGAGATTGGAGACAGTTGCATATACGAAGTTATTTGT